CTATTAATAAGTTACAAGTAATAATTACAAAAGTTTAAGCGTATCAGTTGACAATTTACAATTGAGTTAGACAATTTTTATGTTACATAAGTGATACGGATCATATGGATTGGATAAATCTAAAGTTGATTATAAAAAGTAAAACAATCTATGTTATCCATGTTATGTTCGCAAAATAAGAATGGCCTGACTCAATTATAGGAAACCTAAATTAAATAGAAATGTATTTCTTCTTTTAATAATTTTAATAAATTGAGAAAACGATAGCAATGTTCTCAAATTTTTCTAATGTATTTAAACTTTGGTATTTTATCTGCATCAAACATTGTTTATGTCATGTCTTAAATGCATTGAACCTCGTGTACAACCCGTGTATTATAAATTATGAACAAATCCAACTATTCAAGCGTATAAAGAAAATGTACGAAGTAATGGAGGCAAAGGTAAAGACTAAAAAGACTAGTATAAATGATAGCTTCAATTATACAAATGGGAACGAAGAGTAATCAGAATTTAAAGAAAGACTGAAATAATAAAGGACACGAGGGATTACTTTTCTATCCTGACTTGGTATTTTACCGACCCTGCCGGCGATTCTAAGGGTTATAATCTCATTATATTAATTTGATGCGTCACGAGGTCACCAGGCAGCTGCTACCCCTTGAGAAAGATTTCCTTCTTTAAATAGAACCAGGGTTATCCTTCTATATTCTTTAGAATATAGTACTCCATGACGAAGCTGATTCTTTCCGTTATAATGACAATCCGAATGCGAGAATCTGAATCCACAAAGTCCTATTTAATCTTTCGACAAGCGGAATCTTAAGCAGTACAAATAGTTATCCTGAGTTGATTGATGCATTGCTGATTAAACATTTTATCGGTAACTGTACCTAGATCTTTACGGCAAGTTTATAAAACGCAAGATGACGAACGTATTAACGAAAATTAATTGTGTTATTAGTTTATGCTTATCACAATAAATCTTTCACCCGATGCAAACATTTACCTTATTCAGGCTCCTAGAAAATAATGCATGTAAACGACGAATTACATAAAGATCCACTATCTATTATAAATAATAGATATCTATATCTATATCTATATCTATATCTATATCTATATATATCTATTATAATAATACAAACTTATAGTTTGTCGGCAATTAATATCGGCACTTATTCTTAATAATTCTTTCGAACATAATAGCTTTACCAAAATAAAGACGACACTTCAATACTAACACTGAAACAATTGAAATTAAATGATCATTTTTGCGAAACAATACAGGATAGTAATTTATCAGTTTTTAAACTTGTAAAATATAATACTGAAGAACAAAAATAGTCAAGAATATGGCGCAAAACATTTCCCAAAAACATAATCGCGAACATTTTCAAATTCAAATAAATTGATACAGATATGCAAAAAGTGTACAGCATATGAATTACTTCGTTTTTTGCAACGCGGATAAGAACGGTCCAAAAAGTAGATTCGTAGCGAACCGCGTAATGCGAGCGCAGTGAAACAATGTGCCTTTTCAAGAGCATGAACCCGGAAATCTTGTGTCGGCGAGCATAGTTACTGAGCGAGTTCCACATGGTCGTGGCACTGACCCCTGCAACGCAGCTCCCCTTGGCATATGACTTGCATGTACAAAGAAAAAGTTTTGGGGTTGCCACGTACGTTTCCACCCCACTGCGTTCTTTCCCCAGCATTCTTATGTTATGGCAGCCAGTGCATAATGAAAAAAGAGTAGCGAATACGAAGACAGATGGTTGTGATGCGCGTCCATGGTATACCTCTGTTAAGCAGCAGATTATCAAACTTCCGACGTGACTGCGGCTACTTGCGCCATAAAATACCAGCTCGCTAACCATTTTTACAATTGGTTCTTTCGACATTCTTGCATAATGAAGTGCATACTCCTTATATATATATACCAAACAATAATACTACCTGGCATGTACTGCTTCACAAAAGTGAGAAGACCTAATTTATTTGGAATTTGTAAAGTTTTTATTATAAAACTTGCTCCAATAATATAACTTATTCAAGCGTTTTCCACGAAAGAGTCTCGGAACTTTGCAGAATTGCAAAATAAGAAAGCGGTCACTTTGACCATGGTAGGTTTAGTGTTAAATCATCCACATCCTACAGTAACGTACGTATATATATAAGGAGTATGCACTTCATTATGCAAGAATGTCGAAAGAACCAATTGTAAAAATGGTTAGCGAGCTGGTATTTTATGGCGCAAGTAGCCGCAGTCACGTCGGAAGTTTGATAATCTGCTGCTTAACAGAGGTATACCATGGACGCGCGTTACTGTAGGATGTGGATGATTTAACACTAAACCTACCGTGGTCAAAGTGATCGCTTTCTTATTTTGCAATTCTGCAAAGTTCCGAGACTCTTTCGAGGCAAACGCTTGAATAAGTTATATTATTGGAGCAAGTTTTATAATAAAAACTTTACAAATTCCAAATAAATTAGGTCTTCTCACTTTTGTGAAGCAGTACATGCCAGTTAGTATTACTGTTTGGTAGGTTTAGTGTTAAACAATTTGAGCATTTTATAGTTTTACTATGTGAATCTGTATACTAGACTATGTAAAATTAATATATACATTTTATTCTTCGACAAGAGACGGATAGGAATTTCGTTTTCTGTAAAATAATTCAAGTAAAATTTCTATAAAATATATTATTTTCAACTGACTGAAATTATTAATTTTTTGACTGTTTTAAACTGCACCTACATATCTCTGTGATAAATGCATATAGTTTGTATTCTAATTGTCAACGTTAAGATTTTATGTTCTAAGTTACGTTTTTTTTTGGAAAAAGTTTAATAAAATTATTAGCAAGATCGCACAACTTATTCGAATATTTCATCGCAGTTGTTGTAGTTCATTTTCATAATAAAGAACAAGTAGCCGTTAATTTAAGTATGTTTACTTGTTAGTTACTGTAGTGAAAATTCTACATGTATCTAACATATTTCATATTTAATTTGTATTAATAATATTATTGAACTATTGTTAGTTCAATAATATTTCTTTCATTAGTAAATCGTATTAATATTTTTTAATACCATTATACTTATTGTTTCCAAACCGATACACTGAAGCAGCAACCACCTTGTCACTTTCCAGAGATGACACTAAAAGATCGACGCAGCGAAACAAACAACCTGAATCGGAATAAGCGTGCCGTTACGAAATACGTTATTTATGACCGGCCAATAAGACGTTTGCGGATCCGAGGGAAGAACGACGATAAAAATCCGGACAATGCATATGCAGGTCAAGAGAGCGGGAAGAAAGATTCGGAAACAAAATTTGTCCAAACAGTTCTGCCATATAACACATTTCTGGGCGGGCTGACACCGCGGCAGTTTCGAAGTGACGAAAAGGGAGCAGGGGATCCCGAAGAGAAAACAGTCGGCTGAAAAGAGTGGGAAAGAGAGGGAGGAGAATTTGGTCGGATGGAGAGGGGATCAGAGTACAGTCCCGTGTCCCCCGCGTCATGAATCATGCATTCTCATCCCCTAGGAACGAACTGGAGCGCTCTGCGGTAGCGCGATCCGTCCAACAAATAAACAATGTTATTTGTTCTCTGGGCTCTCGACCCATTCGCAGTCGTCCAAAAGACTTCGTGAGGACGGTACAGAAGGTCGAGCTCTGGAATTCCACATTTTCGCAAACCAAAATGTTGGGTAGTACAAGCAGCGGGGGGAAACGATGTCCTCTTTTCCCTTGCTACCCTATTTCTATCCCTTTCTCATCTACCTTCTTTGTTTTTCGGTCTTATTTTGACTCCTGCCGTTCCGCGTCACCGTTTCTCACCCGACACTTTTATTTTATGACAATCTGTCTTGTCAACGCCGGAAGAAACTTTCCCAGCGAACGATGGTAATGTTTCACCGTGACCGATGAGACAACATAGGCCGAATTTCATTCAAATAAGCATGTTTCTCTCTCTCTCTCTCTCTCGCTCTCTGCGTGTGTGTGTTCCTTGATCCTGCGAGCACCATTTGGGCGATATTAACTTCCGTTTCTACAGTTATAAATACGTGTTTTAACGATACTAGGATGTTCTGTTAGAATAGGTCGCCTAAGTGCTAATGCCAAATATGTTTTTTCAAACTATCATAAATTTCTGAATTCGTGTTAACATCAGCTATGCTGTGCAAGGCAAACGAATTTCTACCAGCATGTTAAACATATCAGTGGTCGTGCATATTTTTGAGGAACATTTTTACTATGTATAGCACGTTTTAATCTTTTCTGCACTATATTCCTACGTTGGGACTATGTTACATTTTCTTAATATCAATATGAAACCAGAAAGGATCTTTACATTTGATGTAGAGTTAAGAGTGTTTCTAGGGAACAATAGAATTTGCAGGTCATTTATGTCCTACATTTAAGATCTACAATTTTTAATGCTTTTCATTCAAAGCTAATTTAATTGCAAAAGATTTTTTTTTTATTTTAATTTTATACGATTCATTGCATTTAATTCACGTAACATTTAGCCTATTAGCTTATACAACACTTACGTTTTCAATATTACAGAACTTAGTAGTGTAAAAATTGCTTCGAAAAATGAGCGATCTTCAATCGTATCGTACAGTCGTCATCCGAGTGTGAAGGATTAAAGATGATTTTGTTTTCGACATTCGTGTTAATTAAACGTGAAATAGAGTAATGTAATGAATTACAGGGTAATTGTGATGAATAGTAAAACAAACATTTACGATGAATTGAACGCTTTAATATCGTATACTAAATCTGTAGAAGTTATTTACTGTCAATATTAATTGAATTAAACAAAGTAATGTAATTATTACTGGAACATTTTCTTCGAGCGTCCATAAAATGTGTAAGGTTTAAATCCTATATATCGATTTTGACGAACCACGTTAATATAATTATTAAGTGAAACTATTTCCTAAGTGTCTTACTAATTTCCCCGTTTTTCTTTCTGTTGCAGATGAACCGTCCTATTCAAGTGAAGCCGGCGGACAGTGAAAACCGCGGAGGTGAGAACAGGCGATCGTACCAGTAGCAATATATCTCATCATCAAATCTCGTTAATAAGATTAAATTTTAACTCGACCAAATCGATGTAGAATTCACTTTTAATTTATCTTGTGTATAAAAGAACGATTTCCATGACGGACATACAATCGATACTTAAAAAATTATATAATACACATTGTAAACGATTATTATTAAAATTTCGGTCTCTAGATTTTGCAAAGTAAGAATAAAGATCAAATCAATGATCGAAAGTGCGTGTCTCGAAGTTACAACGTCGTAAATTAACGTTTCACGAATTTTCATTAATTCAGCATCGAATATTTTCACCGTTCGAATGAAAATCAATTTATCTTCTACCATTAAAAACATTTTCGTGTTTCTAAAATTATTTAACAACACCAACGGTTTTACTTCGAAAGGGTCCGAGCGTGCAACAAAGGATGCGCAATTGATGGAAAGATCCAATAAAATATAACGAAGAATATTTTTATCGTTTGAATTCAATGTCGATTCATCTTCTATTATTAAAAACATTTTCGTGGTTCTAAAATTATTAACAACTTCAATGAATTTACTTCGAAAGGCTCCGAGCGTGCAACAAAGGATGCGCCATTGATGGAAAGATTCAATAAAATATAGCGGATTTAATGGCGAGCTATGAAATATTTTTATTGAATGGGAAAGCATTCACTGTAACATACAGTAATACCCGTTGACAACCCATACGTAACTTTCAATCGAACAAACACAAAAAAGCACGCCTCGATAAAATTTCGTTTCTGTACAATGCCCGCGCCGTTTCGGAGTTGTGTACTATTCATTAATTTCGTGTGAATGAAAATCTACCGATATTTCTGCGATCTTACCGCTTTTGCGCGGACCGAGCGTTATAAAACTCACGTACGACAAATGATTCAAATGAATTGAAAAATGGGATAATAGTTGACCATGTCTCAAGCTTACATGTGTTCAATATAAAATCAATAGAACTATAAAAACTCACGAGATGCTAGTTAAATCTATCGTAGAACAAATTATTAAATAATTTTCATTTTATTGCTTCAATACAACAATCAACATCGCGCAAGACAAATGAATTGAAAAATGAGGTAACAGTTGACCACGTCTCAGACATACACTTGTTTATTATAAAATGTAATAGAATTATAACAACTCGTGAAATACTATTCATATCCATTCTATAACAAATTATTATATACTTCTCATTTTATTTATTCGATACAGCAGCGACATCGTGAAACATTTCTATTTCGAAAACAATGTTAAATTCAATACTAATGGCATCTTTAAATATCTGAAAAGTCTCTAAAATTTTACTGAGACGTAAGAATGTCGAAGGGATGGACAAAAATCGAAAATATAAAGACTGGATTAAATGCAAAAACAAGTAACGTAGAGTAACTGAAGAAAGAAGAATCAGTGGTTGAAATGCGATAGTCCCCAGAAACTAAGGAATTTATTCAGGTTCTCTTTGCTTGTGCTCTTTCGCACAAACGTGAAAATGATCGCTGCGTAGAAGTCGGAACCGAAATAGTGATTTTGTGCGATCAATTGAGTTTGATCCATCTATGGTGTTCAAGGAGGAGCACCGAAGAAGGAGAAAAGCGGGTTACGGGGCGGAGCAAGAGAAATGGATGAGGGAGGCCGTAATTCATATGCTAATCTAGCGTAGATGCCATTGTAATCTCCGGTCGGCTGTCTCAGTGTGACCCCACAAAGCCTCAGTTTGACGTAACTATAGGACGAGCGATCTAAAGCTGAACACTGTCACAGCGGCTGCTTCCACTGTTTCAGACCGCATACCTATGCGCATACATATATTTTTATGACAGACCCTGTTCAAAAGACTTCTGAACCCAGCGGAAATAACATTATTTCATTTAATAAATAAATGTATTCCACACAGAAAATTCATAGAAATTCATCGAATTTCATAGATATTTCTCAGATATTTCATTGATACTTCATTGAATATTAATAATATTACATTATTTTTGTAAGATGTGAAAAATCAATGTTTAGTACAGAGTACATTCAATCATCATGCATCAGTTTTCATTTTCATTACATAATAATTGGACTTTTGACTAGTGATACGAAAATATCAAAATGAAAATTAGTACATAATATGCAGCCAATACTAAATAAATGATAAACAGTTAAATACTATAATAAGTAACTACAAATATTGAAGTATACGATGAAATTAATAAAATTACCCTGAAATCATGTATAAGGGATGAGTGTTAGACTTTGAAGGATAAAATATTTGACACTTTGTTTGAATAGTGCGAGGCTCGGAGTTTAAGGACTAAGAAAAATCAGTCTAAAACTTAGCGGAGTGATAAGAAGGGATTGATAGGAGTAATCACGAGTGGGGTGTAAGATTTTTAGACCGAGAGAAGAGGGTAGCTTAAATTATACTGCACACAGATAGAAATACTAAGGGACTATGGTTTCACTAACAGAACGATGAAACAATTTCGTTGTAGACATGAAAGATTTGTTTTGAAAATGTCAAAAGAAATTTTTAACATGATTGACTTATCTTTGCTGTAGAAAGTGGTGAATCAGTATCGAAACCTTACGACATTGTTCATAACTAGACTGCAGATTATTATACGCATTAAAATACGAAATAAAAATTATCTACGTTAATCGTATGATACAAAATGTACGTGGACATTTACTTCGTTTCCAATTCATTTTAATCGGTAGAAGGTAATTCGACGCTGTTTTTCAATTTTCCAAATGCTTTTTACAGATTTTTGTCATAAGTCCATAAAATCCGTAGTCTGTTTGTAACAACTCGATCGATAAACAAAGCGAATGTCTAGTACTTCGGCGCCGTATATTGCGTCGAATCGAAAGTTTCGCGACCGCCGAACGAAAAAAGCGGAGAACAAACATCTCCAGCAGTTTGTCACGCCTTTCAGGCCCAAGCACGGTTGATTGTCTCGCGAAAGCTACCGGAATTAAGTGTACAACGACGGAAACAGATTTGAGAAATACGTATCTCGCGCGGAAGTTGCTCAAGCTCAAGGGTGGTGGAAGTTCCTGCGAGTGGATAAGGGTGGCTGCTATGCCGGAGCCAGTTGAGCAAGTAGATAAGTTTCGATCCCTCGGCGAGTCACCTTGCCTCCGCCGCCATCACTCGCCCTACCATGTTCGAGCAGATAAACGTATCCTGGGATATCGAGATTCTCGAAGGTTGCCTTCATTGCTGGCAACTTTGAGTTGGTCGACGTGGCACGAACTGCTCCGGGTCCGAAGCTATTGCGAGAAATCCTTGAGGATTATGAGAGAACGACGTGCTTCTTCGTAGACGGGGACGATGTCGTCAATAGAACGGCGCGGTATAAAGTTACGTATGGGTCAGAAATTACGACGTATTTAACGGCCCTGCCGTCGTTAAGCACGCAAGAATTCGCGCAGAAGCAGGCGTGTCGGTGAAATCTCGCGATCATTCGAGCCGATACATTTCCACGAGCATTGACGATCGAAAATGAGAGAAGCTAACACGTTTTTATAACGCCATAGGAAACTCAGCGCGTCCCTCGTGTTCTGCTCAAATGCCGAGTCCACTTATGCATCTTTCTGCGTCAAAATTAAGACTTAAGAACTTGATAGTTTATTCAAAAATTTCCGCAAGGCCTGATAACACTGTCATCTCGCGTCTCCCGTGATTACTACGAGAATAAATGTATAATTTATGATAAGATCCGTTGAGACTTCATCGGTCTCCACGGGGATACACGATCATCGAGTGCTCGTTGTTCCGTTGTTCGCAGAATCGCGACGCTTCCCAGCGACAGTCCCCGAGAAGAAATTAAACGGAGCCGGCCGGCTTCATCCATTAGGAACTATTAAACGGACGCCGAGACTAGCGAACGTTATAAGAACGCGACGCCTTCCATTTCCATGTGTTTCCAGATATTACCCCATTCACCGTTTTAATCGAATTAACGAAGTAATCGCAGGGTGTGAACAAAAACCAATCCGAAAGCGGAACAAAAGGAGCCGGCGAGGCAGGCCGCCTCGGTCAAAAGAAAAGGAAATACGGCGTCAAACAGAATGTTCGCTTTGTTCTCGGTGTCCAGTTAGAAGATAATTTCCCAAGGGTTAATTCCTTCCTTGATTTCTCGGGGACCCTGACCGGGAAAAGGAACGCGAAGGGCACGTTAACACTTAGCTCGAGCGACAAAGGTCCAATTCCTGGTCCCTACGGTGTCCTGGCACGACAATGGGAACGAACGCTCGATGAAAAGTACTCGGGGCTTAAGGAAGGAGAATTCCCTGTCAAAGAATAGCAGAAGGAAGTGTGAGGAAGGTGAAGGACGGAGGAAAAGGTTGGGGCGGCGGTAGTGGAGGAGGAGGAGGAGGAGGGGGTTTGAGAAAGAGCAGGGTGGACGAAGGGGTAAGAATCCGTGGAGAACGGGGATGCAACGAGGCTGCAAGTCAGGCGAGAATCTAATTTCCCGAGACAAATCCTTAAATGTGCCCTGGAGCCTAGCTGGAAGGCGCGAGTCAAGCCACCGGCTGGAATGAGCTCGCGTCTAGCACCCGCGACGACGACCTTTAACTCGGTTCGCCAATTTTGCATCTCCATAACCTCGCGAAGACGCGTCATTAAGTTCATTCACGTGGGGAATGCGGTGAATCGAAAGCACGAACCGTGGCCGCGTTATCCGAGGAATGTAAAATTGTGATAAAACGGTTACGCCCGATTGAAATCCTCAGCGACCCCAAGCGGCGGGAACTTTCGAACTTTCGATTAACGAAGCCGTCGCCGCGCCGTCTCGCGTACCCGAAATTTTATCGAACGGCCGCCTGCCGACTGTCTCTGCGAGCAGGTGTGTCGACGAGAAAGAGAACAAGGAAATCGCAAACAGATTTCTGGATGCGAAATCGGATCCCGAGGATCGTTAAGGTTTAAAACCCTTCGAGAGAGAGAGGGAGAGAGAGGCAACGGAAATACGGTGCGCCGTGTTTAGTCAGACTAAGAGGGACATAGTTGTTCAGACTCCTGCGGGGAGGGCATGTCTTGTCTTGTCTTGAGGAGATACATATAGTCAACGACGACAACGAATGATGTAATTTGGGCCCAATAGCATTTCTTTGTTTCTGTTCTGTATTCCAGAGTGCATGATGGACGACGGGAGCACCAGTGCCATCTTCTGGAAGTAGGAGGCACCGGTGGCGGCCGCTGAAGGTAACTTCGACTTCCAGGAGATAGCTAGCTTCCTTACAGTACCTCTATTCTTCTTCTTCTCCGCAAATCGGCAGAAGGAGAACCTCTTTAAGAGAAAAACGAAAAAACGAATTTTTCTCTCTCATCACGCCATCACCGCTGATTCAGCCAGCACAGCTCGCCGCAAAGTTCATTTTGCTGCTCGCTAGTGTTTGACCCACGATACCCAGCATTCCTTCACGAACTTTCTTCTCCTCCCTCGACCACGGTCCAATTTCTAGACCCGTCGCGCGGCCAGTATACATATACAGGGTGTTTGTCGTTGCAGCCCATACGTTTTTTTCAGACAGTTCCGTTGATCTAATGAAAAAAGTTGCACACACGAGATTCGGCTTACAAACGGGAATAAGATCAACCCTTGCACCAACTTTCAGTTTGTCTGCAAAATTCTGTGCAAGATTTTGCCGACGAATTACGGTTGCTATAGACTTTTACTTTCTCTGAACATTACAAGTTGATTTATCGATTCGAGCTATGAAACTGTGAAATTCAAATGTAGACTTGTACAAAACCTGTTGTCCGACATATCGCTCTTCGGACATCTTGTTAACAATAAACCCATTTTTGACGATAAATCTTGTAGCTCGTGTATTTTTTCTGAGCAAATAGCCTCAAAATGTTTGCGCGAGTTTAAAGTGAAATTGCCGGCAGCTTTTCTTCATTAGATCATCTCGAAAGTCACGAATATCTAAAAAATTGTTTCGGCTCTGTGCATTCGAACGAAAACAGAATTCAAGATTCAGATATCGTTGAACGATTATGCCTAATACGCTAACTAAATTTTGCTCGATCACGAGACTTCGTCGACTCCAAAATTTCTTACTGTTCGATCGTGTCGAGAGTACTAACATGCACCGTGAAACATAGTTGCAGGCACGGTTTCTAGCGGAATTCATCTTCTACTGTCTGGCTTTCACAATCGATCGTGTCTTCGATTATGTTTTTTTTTCAAAGAAAACGATTTTCGGCCGTTTGGATAAATCTTGGCAAGCATAAGCTAGCTTATGTCGATTCGATCTCGTGGAATGCGACGCGTCTTTATTGAAAACCTCTCTCCGTTTCGAATACCGTTCTGCTGTTCCCAATCCATTTCATCGGAGAACTCGAACATACAGCGTGGTACACTCTATAAGGTATTACAAACAGTGTTGTGCGTGCCCACGTGCGTGAACGTTTACCTAGTAGCCGTCAACTTGTCGTTCGTGTTTTTGCTCTATTTATTGCGCACCGGCGTTTATCACATTGTTAAAAACTCGTTACGGCGGAATGTGCGTGGACGCTCTTAGATTCCGGCGAGCTTCGGCCTTTTAGCACCCTATAAATTAACGGTGGTCGTCAGGCTGACTATTCGAACGATGCGTCGGTGCACGCCAGCAGAGGCTCGATTTCGATGGGTCCAATTATCTCAGAGCGTCTACCGGACCGTATGTTGCAGAATAGCTTCCCTTTTTGTTCCGAGGACCGAACATATCGTGCGCCTCGTAAGACATATCCCGTAATTAATCCCGATTTTCAACATTTCACCTGATCCCTTCGTATGAACAACCTCAAGCGTAAATATTATATATTTATATATGATTATATATTTATATATACATATTATACCGCTCTTTACAGCTATGACCATAAAATAGTGGCTCGCTCGTTGGATGTGTTGTCTCGTTCGTTGTCGATGTGTTTTTTTATCACCTCTGTAAATATTTTCTGATTATGATGTCAGCTACGTTTATCTTATTCTATTACTTAGATATGATTCTATATAAGAACTTTTTTCACCCCATAACCCACCCCCAACCCGAACGCCCGGTCCCGAACAGCTCTCCAACGACGACAGATCCTTCCACGCGTTCCTATTGACCACATTTTCTGTCACGTAGTCCCAGTCGATCTCGCACACCCACGACCATTTATTATCGATATTATACAGGGGTACACGTACACGCAGGATACACACTCGGTGCAGATATTTCCGAGCATTTACCGTGGCCGATTATCAGATTCTCTGGTTCGGAACAATGAATTTCTTACAATTTCGGTGAATCCAATCGTGTCCAACGAATCGTTTCACGAGACGTGAAATAGTCTTGCTCGAATAGTCTTGGGACCTTGAGAATGTGTTGTACTCGTCGTGACTGCAAAGAATTTCGCTATCAGAATAGGTAGTCTGCCTATTTTGATCTCATACGATCTTAACGGAACTCGATCTTAAATTTTAAACGAGTAGAACACGCTTTCAAAGTTCAGCGACATGTTTATTCGGCGAATGAACAATTTCGCGCAGTTAACGTTCAAAAACATGGACAAACAATTAGGCCCAACATTCTCAACTAAAATGGAAAATGCTGTTACAACCACAGACCGATTCTGTCTGTATGCAAGTGGCGTGTGACCCTTTATAAGCGATATATTGACCTCAGCACCATGCGGAACGCTTGCTGGCAATGCCGTCTACGAATTTTGCAATCATATAATTGACACAGATTGCGAGGTTTAAGTATGTCGATGTAGAGATTTCACAGTGTAAAATGTCTCGGAAATGTAGACGACATTAAACGCCAAGACTTCCGGCCGTAGTTGAGTCGCTTGTACGCCCCATCCGATTTTTACGCGAATACCGTTTTTTCTCCATCTGTTTCTTCGGCTTGTGGCGTAGGATGTAGGATTGACATTGGTTGAATTATCTTGATTTTCTTTGTTAATCGTTACTTTACTACCTTCTAATTCCCACTGAAATATATTATCGTCACTGTCACACGTGTACGTCGTGTTATATATACAATACTGTTACCGATATTAGTATTACAAGTGATACTTTATTATTATCCTTGTCATTTTACGTCCATTTTATATATCCACAATCGGAAACGTATCGATGTATGCATACATATATACATTAACACGAGTCTAAAGTGAAAGCAAAAAAGAAAAGAAGAAAAGAATGTGCAATTGAACAAGTACGGCTGTAACTAGCAGTCGGTGTAAAAATTTCGCATTTAACATAGACATATACATATGTATATATCTATATACATTCGGAAATATGTAGATATACGTATATATGTATATTTATACCCTTACCTCCTTCCCCTTAGGATGGTGGATGCTGGTGTAACCGTGTAACTTTGTCGTTCTCGGTGTTAGCCGCAAAATCTCTTTTAATGCCTAATAAGCGCTATAAGCGAAACCCCGCCATATCTAAGGACAAAGACTAATACGGTTTTTTTTGTTTTTTTTTCTCTGTTCCCTTTATTTCAACACGCGGACGACCCGCAGACAGAAAGCTGTTCGTGGGAATGCTCAGCAAGCAACAAACCGAAGACGATGTCAGAAAGTTGTTCACTGCCTTTGGCACAATAGAGGAGTGTACCATCCTCCGAGGACCTGACGGCAGTAGCAGAGGTGAGTGACGAATACGACAGTTCTAATTCTATATTCTCATTCTATGCCGACTTACGCAGCACTTACGCCTACCTCGATACCACTTGCTTTTTAACTCTCCGTCGAATTTACTTTCACACTAAACATACCAATGCCGGCCAAAATGACCGCTAGCATATTTTTCACTTCAAATTTGTTGAAATTATAAACACTCTTTCACAGGAAATATCTTAATGCAAGCATACGTTGTGATAACAATTATGGGAAGTATAGATAAATTCGGTCATGTCGTCGTCACGAAGCGACATACGTTAGTAACAGTTACACACTGTCACAGCTTGATAGGTTTAGTACGATGCTCGAAATTCTTGAAGAAGCATTTTTCGTGGCATTCGTGGCACTTTTCACTTTCTGCAGTAGGGGAATTTACTAGGACTCGACATAGTCTTTGTGTGAATAACGTAACGTTGATGAATGACTTCTCGTTGTTTCACAGATAACGCTATTCAACAAATAATAAGAAATTTATGTTATACGCATCTAGCGTGTTGTGCCATGATGAATACTTAACACTGGATATGAATTAAATATATTCGTTCTCTAATATACTGTTATAGTTGCTTTTATCCGAAATTAATGTTATGATTGCATAAAGTGTGACACATATTTAACGATGATTATGAAGTAGAATTGGTTATAACAAACATCAGAATCAATCACAATGTAAAGGAATGTGGTTTCCTTTTGTTGCGATTTGTTTCAACAAAACATGATGTTAAATTTTCAACAAACAGATACACTTTGATTATAGATATTCTCAATATTAATTTTTTGCATCGAGAAAATTAAGTTGAAGGTAGTATAACGAGGAGTAAAATTTGTGTGTAATGGCCAGACGTGCCACTTCGATTGTCATTCAATAGTATTATTTTCTGAACCTATTTGTTCTCGAAAACGGAGCGTTAAATGAAAAAAATGTTATTCCTTTTTTCGACTTGTTTTTTGATGCAAAATCATCCCCTATCTGGTTGCACCACCAATTACACGACACCCTGTAGGTATTTCTAATCCTCCCACTGTTAATGTTCATACTTTTCCCAAACAATCGCTATATCGTTACATTACGTTTCGTGATCAGTATTTAATTGCAAATGCTTAAAACGAAATCACAGTTAATGAAAGATTCCGCAGTTGATCTTCTCATTTCGATACAACGTGCGACGGAATAAATTTTGTTATATTATATGCATATTTAGCAATCGTAATCTACAAGGCTTATATTTCGCACCATTCCCAAAGCGCCCTGCTGCATATTAAATAGAATCAGACACACCCCGGGGAATTTGGCTCTTAAAAGAGGAAATTTGGGGATCAACATAAGCCAACTGCGTAAAATAGATCCCAGGTTAAACCCAAACGAAGGTTGTGTCAAAGAGATCATTCGCCTCGCACGTGCTTTTAATTCGGTTAATACATTAGAATATCGACAAACCGCTTTAACGATGCGATCGAAAGCATCATTTCTACAGCACCACGAAAATGCCATACATTAGGTTCATAAGTTCGTGGGACTATAATTTCGTCCTAAATTGCCTGCATAATAATTAGCCAACATTTACGTATCGTATGTTATTCGATAGCTTTGGTTTTCTCGTATTGTACGATTCTTTTCTTATTTTTTCCGCGTGAGTAACAAAGTCATTGATTTCATTAAAACTATGCAGTGCCAAATTAACAAGAATAACCCATTTACGATTTAATCGTACAAAGAAATACGTCAGAGATGTTCAACTTTGTTAACTCGACATTTCTTAGTTCACAAAAAATTAATACTATTTTTACCAAAGAGGTTAGTAGACATCCTATAAAATTTTAATTTTTAATTATTTTCTAAGTTCACATTATGAAAAGAATTTGATAAAAATAGGTTAAACACTTTATTGCTAACAAGGAACGAATGAGAAAAAAATCGCATCACAGTAGAAAACCAAAGCTATCGAATGACGTACGAGACGATAACTGTTGGCTATTTATTACGTGGAAATTTAGATCGAAATTGAAACCGCGCAAACTCATGAACCGACCCAATATATCACGAATCAATCGGAGAATTTTCTTTAGAAAGATAAAAACCGAAGGGAAACGAACCGGAAGAAGTTCAGATTTCACAGAAAAAAGGTAGCAATTTCCGTTGAAGGAACCAATAATTTCAAAAAAGATCTTCGCATGAAAATAGAGAGCCCGAGTAACGGGAAACTAATTGAGTTTTTGAGGTTGAAGGTTGTGACAAAAGCGAGGAGAGGAAACCGAGGAAACTGATTAAAGCAGAGGCAGAAATCGGGGGTAATAAGGCGCAAGAAAATGAAGGGAAAAGATGGAAAACCATGGGGGAAAAAGAGTCGGACGATTGAAGCTGCATCGCGACAAAAAGAAGGAGGGTTAAGTGGCCAAGCAGGCGTGAATGTAATTAAATTCCACCTTGAAGTAAAACTCACTTTCAACAGTTAATAAGATTTTGAACGCAGCCGGCGATGTAACATAGCACCCATCGTCTTTGATAGGTTTGCAATGCGAAAGGAACTTGGCGAAAGCATGACCGTGAACGGGGTAGGGGCTGAAAGCCAGTACTATAGGGGCAGACCCTTATGATGTCAAGGGACTCGCTCTTGTGCCTCACGGACACCGAATCTCCTCTCTCGTTCACCCACCGCCTATTCCTTTCTGCTGAACTGTAGCTTCTGTCATTGGCTCGAAGCCATTGGACTCTTTGTCGAAAATCGGGCTGATGTTGCACTCGCGTTTCAAGCACTTTAATTAAAAGCTTGCAACTGCAATCATCGTCTCCTGCGAATCGATCGCTGCTTCGAAATATTACGCTAGTTGCTCGCGAACGTCCTCGGTAGCTTCGACATTGTTGTCGTCCGCCTTTCGACGACGGAACGCAGCAGCCTAAGATTCGATCCCAGATTAAAACGTGGGTTGCTTCTCGAGATCAACGAGACAAGTCTGAACTCGAGCACTTTCGAACTCGAAGAATTTGGAAATCATCAGGGATTTAATATTGCGTCGTTATGATCGTTGATGGCTGGCACCGGCAGAGCTTTTTTAGCTGTATTAAGTTTTGTTTAAACTGTATTAAGTAGCAACAGAGAACGCAAGTAACGATGTATCATTAGCAGACTGCAGATTTTTATGCAAAATACAAAATGTCTGCGTTAGTTGTGAGAAACATGAGTTGAATGTGTGGAGGTAGCCGCCACATACCCCCGTGCCAGTGATAACGATATCTAAGATGGAGGTCCTCTCCATGCTAGGTGTTTGCTATACCTCGTGAGCATCGACATCGACGCGGTCGTAAGGATGAGCCTGCGTAGCTCTGCTCGACTTGACCGCGTTTAATGCCCGAGGTAGTGCCAACATTACCTGATCCTGATCCCAGCTGAATCAACCTACATCTGAGCCTTAAAGCTACTATGTACAGTATTTATAATGATGTAGGTTGATCGGAAAGTTGCGTGTTCAAATCACGTCGGGGTCACCAGTTTGGCGGCGGTTCTGGTGTGGAGAAGGAAAGGAGTGGGGAGACGTTTCGTCCGGGGCCCGCTAGAGGACTCATCGGTAAGGCTATCCTAGCGGGCCCTTGCCTTAGACGTAAGGGTAGGACGAAGTCTCGGTGTATATATAGGGATCGGAACGTTTGGCTACTAGCGGGAAGAGGAGCCCTCTGCTGGCAGGTCTGGAGGTAGCCGCCACATACCCCCCTGCCAGTGATAACGATATCTAAGATGGAGGTCCTCTCCATGCTAGGTGTTTGCTATACCTCGTGGGCATCGACGCGGTCGTAAGGATGCCTGCGTAGCTCTACTCGACTTGACCGCGTTTAATGCCCGAGGTAGTGCAAACGTTACCTGATCCTGATCCCAGCTGGATCAACCTACATCAGAGCCTTAAAGCTACTATGTACAATATTTACAATGATGTAGGTTGATCGGAAGGTTGTGAGAGTTCACATCACGTCGGGGTCACCAGTTTGGCGGCGGTTCGAAGGTCGTGGAGATGGGAAAGGAAAGGAGTGGGGAGACGTTTCGTCCGGGGCCCGCTAGAGGACTCATCGGTAAGGCTATCCTAGCGGGCCCTTGCCTTAGACGTAAGGGTAGGACGAAGTCTCGGTGTATATATAGGGATCGGAACGGATCGGCTACTAGCGGGAAGAGGAGCCCTCTGCTGGCAGGTCTGGAGGTAGCCGCCACATACCCCCCTGCCAGTGATAACGATATCTAAGATGGAGGTCCTCTCCATGCTAGGTGTTTGCTATACCTCGTGGGCATCGACGCGGTCGTAAGGATGCCTGCGTAGCTCTACTCGACTTGACCGCGTTTAATGCCCGAGGTAGTGCAAACGTTACCTGATCCTGATCCCAGCTGGATCAACCTACATCAGAGCCTTAAAGCTACTATGTACAATATTTACAATGATGTAGGTTGATCGGAAGGTTGTGAGAGTTCACATCACGTCGGGGTCACCAGTTTGGCGGCGGTTCGAAGGTCGTGGAGATGGGAAAGGAAAGGAGTGGGGAGACGTTTCGTCCGGGGCCCGCTAGAGGACTCATCGGTAAGGCTATCCTAGCGGGCCCTTGCCTTAGACGTAAGGGTAGGACGAAGTCTCGGTGTATATATAGGGATCGGAACGGATCGGCTACTAGCGGGAAGAGGAGCCCTCTGCTGGCGGGTCTGGAGGTAGCCGCCACATACCCCCCTGCCAGTGATAACGATATCTAAGATGGAGGTCCTCTCCATGCTAGGTGTTTGCTATACCTCGTGGGCATCGACGCGGTCGTAAGGATGCCTGCGTAGCTCTACTCGACTTGACCGCGTTTAATGCCCGAGGTAGTGCAAACGTTACCTGATCCTGATCCCAGCTGGATCAACCTACATCTGGGCCTTAAAGCTACTATGTACGATATTTACAATGATGTAGGTTGATCGGAAAGGTTGCTGCGTTCAAATCACGTCGGGGTCACC